CTAACTCTCCAACTAGCTATAGTTGGTTTTTAAAACTTTAGCTTACTCCATTAGTATACATTTCACACCACATTTAAAATAAAATAAAGACATTACTTGCACCCACAATGATTATTTAATGCTACTTTAATGTCCGTGTCTCATCGGTAAACAGAAGTATTCCCGCCTGACTAGATGACGTAACTTGTGAAGACGCTTGCACATACCTTAATTATTTATCGGTACTGGTATATGCAAATGTAGATGGCGTCTATGAATTAATTTACATGCACCTTTGAGGCTTTGACAATACATTTTCATTGTTCTAAAGTACTTACACAATAGCTATTTGTATTGACAAATTGAATTCGTTACGTCTATTTATTTAATTTGTCCAAACAGCAACGGACCTAAGAAGCTCCCTTGGGAACACCTATTATGTCGGATGGTAATTACTGGCGTCGATAGTTAAGAGGAAAACGAGAACTTAATTATTAACTTCTTCATTACAATTAAGGAGATTTAGAAAGTACAGTAACACCTTTAATGAATAACTAAAGTATTAGATTTGCTTGGCAATGCAGCGAAACGCTTTAGTAAAATCTAAAATGTTTGCAAAGCAATGAAAAGTTTTAACAAAATCTTACGTAATAGTAAAAAATGAATATTACTGTATTTTTTGTATACGTTATCGAGTATGTTATTGCATTTTTGATAAGATATCATATATTATATAAAAGTGGCTACTTTTAGATAGATACAATCTAGTCAGACGAGATAGATAAAGATCTTGTCTATTATTAATATTAAATGATTGCTTCTAAAAGTAAAACGTGGTTAATTTGCATATAAATGTTGGATAACTCACATTAAATAAAACTGATATCAATAAACAGAAGGCAAAGTAAGTTATAGATGTTTAATTCAGCGGTTTCTGTAATATATGTATAAGTCGGTTCAGGTATAGGAAAATTTTGTACCTAATTACGTAGTATTTTTGTAATAGGCAATTTGTTGTGATATTAATAAATGCAGCAAAGAAGCTGTGTTCATTGCAGTTTCTTTCTTTATTATAATTTGGTACTACTAGTACTACTTATTACGTATTGTTCTGAACTGATAAACCGATTTCGATTGCAAAAAAATGTTAAATATTTTATTTTTGATACAACAAAATATTATTTACATTGAACTTTTTAAAATGATGTAATTTCCTAATTCATTGCATCATCAGTTGTTCCTATACGTGTCAAAAGTAAATACAATGAACATTAATAAGAAAATGAGGATAAACGATAAAAATATTGTAAATAACACGTGGTCACGATTACGGAACAGTTTACAATGAATGGCCAATAAACGGCTATAATATTGAATAATATAGTAGTCCTTAATAACTTGTGCATATTTTCTTCTCAACAAGAAGTTAAAAAAAAACAGTTTGAGCCGCGTGATCCCTCTACTCTCCTCACTAATGCCTTAATTCGCATTTGACAGGAACTGCAGCAGCACGTTTAAGTGTGGGAGAGTCAAACTTCGGCACGAATGGACCGGCTCGACCAGAGTGATACTACGGCCTCACAGAAAACGGAAGTGAAACAACGTTTGCGTTGTTTCGTCGTGTGAGTGAGGTTACCGGAGGCCTAATTAGACCCCCCCCCCGTCGCCCCCTTGCCCTATCTCCCCAATCCTTGCATCCCCAACAATCCTAATTCCTAATCCACAAGGTAACGCACTTGTATTGTAACCCCTCTGGTGTTCCAGGTGTCCATAGGCGACGCCGATTCCTTACCATCAGCTACTACGATCTCCAACTCTCCGCCTGCCAAGCGTGGAGGTGATGGGAAACCTTCCTATCCATTAAAAGCCTAAAGTCAAGCTGAGCACTGTAAACACAGAAATATTAATAAGACTACGAAAGGCATGACATACTTCTCTGTCTAACTTACCAATCTTACCATATACAAATACGTGCCCTAAAGGTGATATGCCATCGTTATTTAGTCAGTATTGTATGATATGAGTCCTATAAGTATTATGATTCCCATCTATTATGATGTAATTTTGCAAACCTATTGAAAATATAAGTAAACCTTTAGGAAAATCTTTTAATTCCAGTTAGCTGTACGATGCGTGGTGATGTGAGGTAAGTAAGACTATGAGAGAGGCTGGTCTGTCTTTAATGGCGCCTAGGTCCTAGCCCAGGTGATCTTATTTATAAATGCCTGTATTATCTAATGTAGGTACCTACTAATCAAGTTAAATAAAGGCTTGCAATAGTTGCTCCAATAAATACAATACTTCCTTAGTGAGGCGCACATCAACCTGCACTAATAGATTTTAATACATTTTCTACTTTATTCTTCTGTTATAAGGTCTATGTTGATCTGCTAGTCCGTACTGTAGATGCTAATCATAGCTAATAGAAAATACAAATTTTGAGAAGGCGCGTTTCGACATTCGTGTCGGCACTAACTATGAAGTATTAGCACTTTTAAGTACATAAGCCTTGCTGTGCGTTGCGTCATAACGAGAAAAGAATAAGCCAGAGTTGTGTTAAAGATGAACATTAGACACGGTCGTAAAAATATATCTTTGATAGAAGTGTCGTGAAAATATTGCATGTTCTTTTGTTTAATTTAGGACTGTACGACCACAACTCTGATGGGACAAGTTTTTATAACTAAAGGTGGCCAACGAGAACACCAATTCGGACGGGAAGCGATCAGCGCCGCCCATAACTAGTCGTAGGTAAGATCAGAATTGTTACAACTTACAAATGCGCTGAATTTGCAAATCGTACTTATTAAATATTCTGAACATTGTAAACAAATTGAATTACTAAGTGAAGACTAAAGTTCCCTAATATAAACAAACAAAAGACCCTTATTCTCATGAACGGGTAAGTAGAAATATGGTTATATTTGAATTTCGTCTACAATATTAATGCTCCTTGACAGACAAGTGACAAGGGCTCAAGGATAACATTATCTGCGTAGGTGCCTACTCCACCTCCCAAGAGTGAAGGATTTTAGCGAAACAGAAACTAAAATTACCTAATAGGATCATGTCAAGGTATGAAAGCAAACTGACAGACTTCCAAAGAAAAATCTAGGCTCGTATTTAGAAACAGCGAAATAAAGTCCCAGAAACAAAATGTGTTCAATACTTTTTTATTATCTATGCACCAAAAATATTAAAAACCTCCTTATTTGAAGTCGGTTGAAAATCGTTTTATTCTTTGGTTCTCTATTCTAAGTTTTAATGGTCGTCTTCCCTACTATTTGTTTGTTGAGAAATATTCCTTTTCACCACAGAACATGTACAACGCTTCGTTGATCATGTATTCTATTAATAGTGCGTTATCTACATAAAGACAGACCAATTCTAGGAAAGGTTAATTGATGTGACTAAGTTTAAGATTAAGGCTGAATGCCTGACATATCATTTTGTATAGTATTGGTTACCATTAGCTAATTAGCTAGTCTTTGAATAAGTAACATTACATTATAATTACTTACATTATATCATATTAATTAAAAAAGTAGTTGCAATAATGCTACACATTATTTTGTTTTTCTCAAAGTTTAAAAACAATACCGAAAATAAACTTTTTAAAGTTTTTTTACAATTTGACGTAACCGTAACTATTGGCGGGAATATTTTGGCTTCTCTGTCAAAATTTTCCAATTGTAATTCACAATTTGTATTTTTGCTTTACACGCTTGATTAGAATAGGTATGTAGCAGCTGACATTTATGACACTATTGTTTATTGTCCAATTTACGTAGAGCTGTCGTATGACTTCTATTATTATAGATAAACAGGCGAGTTTAGAATAACACGAAGCGTTTTTAAATAGAAATTGGCTATTTGCATGGCAACAGCGTCAAGAGCCACGGACCGTGATCATTTCTTGTTTGAATATGTAATGTATTCAATTGTTTAGACATTAATTTCTAATCAGTATTTTGGTAAGTGACGTACTAAATGATAATTAGAAAACTAATGACATTGTCGTCTGAATATGAATCGAGAAGCAATTTGTTACAGAAACCTCAAAAAAATACTGCAGGCGAGACAGTGGCCAAATGTCGGCCCATCAAATAAAGAAAAGACGTCGAATGAATTTTATCCCAATTATAAACCACTGCACTAAAGTGGGGTAATTTTTTAAAATGGCAACATTGGGTATATTTTATATTTCAACTTTTATTACAGAAATCTGACACTTTTATAATAATCGAGCAGTATTTTAAATAATTTGCATATTATTTGTAATAAAAATTATATTTTTTTAAAACAATAATTTTGTTAGTTTTCGACTAGTACCTATTTGAATAGGCAGGCAGTAGGCAGTTGTAATAAAATACAACTTGTGTTGTGTATCTAAGGAAACATTTAGAAGTAAATAATATTCATAGCGATAACTATAACTGTTATTATACAAAAACTGGTTACTAAATGTATACCTACTTTGTTCCACAGCTACGTCGTTTTATGAGGTTGATATAGTAAAACAAAGAAATAATATTTTAGAGTTAAATATAATAATTTTTAAAGGGCTGGTTTTTTTAGTTGGATTTTTTTTTGAATGCTAATTGATTTTGCGTGTACCTACCAAACTTTTCGCATAGCATCTGTCAACATTAACTTCATAAATTAGCATCAGAATCAAAGTTCGGACTACTTGTTAAAATCGATGGAAAACAAGTTATTTGGGTGAATGACGTTCATACACCGTATAAATTTTATATTAGCGCAGTAAAACCATTAAACATCAAACTGTTATAGTCTACGCTTCAAAGATTCAACGATTTAGGAAGTGGGAAAATGGCTTCGTCGACTTTTCTTTCATTTATTTTCTAAGTGCCTTAGACATAGAAAGTTACAGCACTGGTTTAGAATATACAATTTGCATTTTTTCCACAGCTGCAAGCGTGACGAATCCCAAAATATTTTTTTTATCAGTTATACTATGTATGTAACTAAGAATTGGTCTTCAGAATTTAAGTACTCACCAGTAAGTGTACACATTCTTCGACTATTAATATCCTGCATCACCTGCCGCATCAGGCCGCTAAGTGCTTTAGCTTCGCCAGAAATTGACTGTTTCGACAGCCATTCGGTCTCCAGTTCCATTGACAACTAGAAACAAAAGGCAAATCGTAAAGTTCAGTTCAGTCATACGGCTATCAACTTCACCAAACTTCTAAATTAATATTTGAACTTCAGAAGTATCTGTAAATGATGTTAATTAACTCCATATTTAGACTTTACGGAACAACTTGGAAATAGAAAGCAGGAATCCATTAAAATACGTCCATTTTTGGATATCAAAGCAAAACTTCTGTATTTCTAAATCTTGAAACTGATCTTTAGTTTGTTTAACCTTTCAATTTATTCATATTCTGTTCCCATTTCTACTTTCCTCGATTAAATTGTAAATCGGATTGTGTTAGAGTATAGAAAATAGATGAATAATGTAAATATTGATTCGTGTTGTTTTTTAACACAGCAGATGAGGATTAGTTTTCATGGAAAATCCGTTACGTCCATTCTGGCACTGTGTCGCCCTACAGAGTTGTTTACTTAGAGTTGTCCAAATTGTCCAATGCCATTAATATTAATGCGCTGAACCTTTTACTTAGATGTGTAACGTGAGTGTATATCCGATAGGTAATAGGATTTTATCACAGGGAGATGTAAACGGAGTTGATTTAATTTTATGTACATACCTTTAAGTAGAGATGGAACGGAATAATATCACTATGTTTATGTTCCATCGTGATTATTCTGATGTTTGCCATCGAATCAGTATATCTAAATGTAGTAGTTATAATTCAATAGTGTGATTGAATTAGCAAGGGACTGTATCTTTCTAAATTAATAAATGTTATACTAACCAGATATTCTGTGAGCTTCTTGACGAGAGGTTCGAGATGCACAGTCCTGGCCCAGGCATCGCAAACGAAGCAGAGGTTGAAGTAGTAAGCATTGCGAGCGTACTTTTTGTTGTCTATCCTCACTGGGAAGCCCAGGATCTTCGACCCGAGAAGGGTGCTGCGATAAATATGACTGCGATTAGAATGTAATCATAATATTATAACCATATATAATCTAAATGGTCGTTGATCAGCAGTACATCTGGCTTATACGATGATGATAATAATCATCAATACCTAACCACGTATAAAAACTTAAGAAATAATATTTATTTCAAAATTTTTACGCTTTGTAAACGTTGATGATAGTTTACATGCGGAAGTAAACAATATTATGACCATCAATCATCTAAAAATAACAGCTGTACATTGTAAAGAGATGCTCACAAGATTATTTACATTACCATCGTCTTTTCAGATCTTGATTTTTTCAAAACTAAATGTTTAAATTGATGTGTTCATTAACCTCTCGAGGTGTTAATTTTAATTTTGCTCATTAGATGCTTAAACTTCAAGGAACGAGACAACGATCTTATCTGATGTCTTGATAATCTTTCTATGCAGGTGCACGGAAGCCGGCGAACTTGAACGGAACGGTAACCACGGTGCATGAATTAATTACCATTTTTCAATTACCTACTATTAACTTCTATAACTGACTACCTCATAGTTCTAGTGTTCGTCGCGGAGAACATAACGTGTCGCGGAGAACCTAACGGGTAACCGGGGCTCCGGCTCGACGTGCAGGAGAAGGAACGGGGTGGTTTTTAGTCAGTAAGAGTCTGACACTCCCTCCCGCCTCACCCAGGCGGGAGCAGTCATACGATGATTTTCCCCCCTTAAAAAAAAAAGTGTTCGATAGCGCAACTGTCAAGCAGAGTTCGAGTCTCGGATCGGGCAAAATAGTAACCGGAATTTCTTCGGCTTTTCGATTTTTTTACAGTAATTCGGTGTCTCGAATTGTGTCCGGTATATGGCAATAGACTCAACTTCTATTCCATAAGACTCATGATACTGTAGGTTTATACCAATACTATAACTGCCTGCCTACCCAGTTCCACAGAAATTATCCTCCAGTTAACACTCCTAAGTTATCGATTTTCAAAATACTTTGTACTAATATATAACTGAACACGAGTCTGTAAATTATAGTAGATAAAATGCTTTAAGTCAATCTGAGGAATTATTTACGTATGCTTTTATTTTCCAAGAAAAATATTTCTAGATCCTATATGTGATAAAAACGAATTAGTTTTTTGAAAATGAAGATAGGTAACAACCAGTCAGGTTATGTATTTAGTATATTATATAAATTCAAATACCAACATTATGTACGGACTACTACTAGTTGACAAGTATAGAAAATCGAGTAGAAAAACAATTTTCTATGCTCTTTCAATACTACTAGTGGAATTACAAATCTTCAAATGTATCTTAAGACAAAATATGCACATGAAATTAAGCAAGAAATCTAAAACACCGCTTTTCTTTAATTTGGACACGAACACTAAAGTAAAATGGAAAGCTTTCATCAAGCTTGACCGATATTGTTTACAAAATATTGACGTTTCTGTCATAATTCATAAACATTTAGCAACTACCCTACAATACTTACACTGTCAATGTGCATCTCTGAAGTTGTACTTTCGGTATGATATAATGACTGACTGTATCAAAAATATCTTTTGATATATAATTTTCTGGCACTTGGCATGTTATCTTCGGCCCAGCGGTCGGATGGAATTCACACAAAAATATACAACGAATCGGCCCTTCCTGTCCACAACCTTCGTAATACTTCACTTTGCCATCCATCGTAAACAAATTTTTAATCAACACATCACTCACATATTTATATTTACACTTAACCAAATCACAAACAAACACTGAACACTCCTAAATTTTTAACAACTATTGTAACACACTAACATTATTTTCATTAACGTAAATATAAAAACAGATTTCACACACTAATTTGTACACCCACTCCTTCCGCGTATTAAAATCGACTGACGTAATTTTATTGTGGTTATTTTGTTGATAATAAATGACGTTTCAGATCAGTGCTGCCAGTATAAAAATTTTAAATTACCCTCCATGTAAAAAAATACATTGATCAAGTTTTGTGGATTATAATTGTGTAAAAGTACCCAAGCAACTATTTATCTGATCGTGTTTTCAAAAAATAAGCATATTTAGAAAATAAGTGAAATAAAGTTTTTCTTTATTTTTCTGAATTCTGAACGAACTATACATGTCATTCACGTAATGCCACTTTAGTAAATATTTATGTATTTCTTGTGTATATAAAATCGAAATAAAATGGATACGAGACGATCTTGTAAATTACTGTTGGCAGCTACAGGTAGCGTTGCTGCCTTAAAAATACCGACTCTAATAAAAGCTCTATTAGAAATACCTGCGGACCAAATGACTTATGATTTTGAGGTTATGTTTACAAAGTATAGATGTCTTGAGAAAATTAATAAATATAAAAATGTGTTTTAAATGAATGTTTATTTCTTAGGTGCACTTAGTAGTTACCGAACATGCGAAGCATTTCTTCAAAATGTCGGATTTGCCTGCACACGTGAAAGTTTATGATGACAGTTTGGAGTGGCAAGCTTGGAAGCAAAGAGGTGACCCTGTTTTGCACATAGAGCTTGGCAAGCTGGCTGACATTATGGTGATAGCTCCACTAGATGCTAATACTCTGGCTAAGATGGCCCAAGTAAGTGAGATATTAATTTTAGACATGTTCAAGACAAAACTTCGTAAACAAAATATATGTTTTGGCATCCAGTAGTCATAGGATTGTATATTTAACTATTGGCTATTAGTCTCTCATCCGTTATATAAAAACATCTATTTGAGATCCCATGTCCTGAATAAAATATTATTTATCACATTATAATTGGAATTTCAGGGTCTCTGTGATAACTTACTAACCTGCACAACCAGAGCGTGGGACATGTCCAAACCTTTGATCTTCTGTCCTGCAATGAACACAAGGATGTGGGAGCATCCCGTCACTACCCAGCAAATAAGATTGCTGAAGGAATGGGGTCATATGGAGATTCCACCGATCAGTAAGACTTTAATGTGTGGCGATACAGGTGTCGGTGCCATGGCTGAAGTAGAAACGATTGTAGAGAAAATCAAAAATGTTGCCGATGAGAAATTCAATGTAAAATTTGATTAATACTCAATTGGTGGTAATTTCAAGTACTTGATCTTTATGATTGTAATTTAGGATTAAATGAAATTATAAGGGTACATAGAGGTTCAAGGATTAACAAGCCTTTTCTGTTTATGAGACATTATTTCTTATTTGCACATCAAAAATAATGTTTACAGTACTTATGATCAAATTATTTTTTTACTTAAACTGTCAAACATCATGCGGTCACCAGGGACCGCAACCTATTGTTCTATAATTGTGTCTATAATGACTGTACTCAATGAGTTAAAACTTGTTAAAGTAATATTCCATTTTGTATAATTCTATTTTCTTTTATAATTAAACTTATTTGGTACTTTACTCAGATCTCACTTTTATGTATGGTTATGAAATCTACAAACTAGGCTAAGTACCTACAAATTTTCAAAAAAAAATATGTATAGGGAATAAGATTACCTACTTCATAATATTTCTATCACCAAAAACTCACGCAAAATTAGACTTTCTAAATATTTAAGTAATTAGGACCAAAGAATTGTTTTTATAGTAGTTAGTTTTTTTTTACTTTTTATATATAATGATATTATTTACTTTCTTGTTTTGGTAGGTTTAGGTAATATGTAGACTATGGGAATGAAATTAATGTAATATTTCGAATATTATGTATTTTTTTATAACAAAAAAGCAAAGTAACATTATACTTATTTCTTTGCTGCATAATTTACTGGAAATGAAATATTATAGGAGTGACTTAATATAATTCTCACTATCTTTATATAGCACATTTTCTGCTAGTGGCACTAGTTTAAAGTTTCATCAAGTACATTGTCCTACTAATTGACTTGACAGGATCTTACACGCCAGTGGCGCCACCTACGAAGCGCAAATATGGCCACGAAACTTTGTCTCAATACATAACGTTAGATAATAAGGTGCTACATGACACATAAAATATTTACAAAGTTAAATAAAATCACTGTTAATTAAATGTATGTTTTATTTATTGCATCCCGAATACTGTTACTATGCTAGCGTACATGCGATACTAACAAAAACTCAGAAATCGAATACATAACTATACACAAAACGTTTCTATAAATTTCTACTAAACTTAAATAGTTCCCGAATACAAATGAAAGTTTTTAAAGTGTATATTTAAAAAGAAAAACTTTAAAGGAACAAGTTGGGGTATATAGAGACTTATATAAAAATGGTTATATGGTCCATACGTCTAGAGTTTAAAATTAGTTGATACAAGTAATATTTAAAGCAAGTTATTACTAGATGAATTGAAAATTGATTAATATTAGTGTTATACTTATTTTGTCTTGAAATACTATTTAAAAATACAGCTTACTATAGTTATGTAGCATATAGAATAATACAATAATAAAATACAGTCAGACTTCTTAAATATCGCCAAGAAATAAAATAAAAATATTATAAACAAAACGCTCAACTATAATAAATTAATATTAGATTCGTAACTCTATAAAATTATTTATTAACATATATAAAAAAATATTCATTTTATTTCTTGGCAATACTGAAGGAATCTAGGTAATTTTACCTCTATGGTGGGGTAAAATGGTGGGTACGATTGTTTATGGTAGAGAAAGCACTATCATCTGCATTCGGGAAATAATAATAATAATATCGAAAACGTATAACTTGAGAAACTGTATCGACAATAATAATACACAACGCAATAATAAGACTCGATATAAAATTATTTTATTCAATTTTATGGTCATTTCTTAACTCACATTACTTGTTAGTCCGGAAAAATATAAGATAAAAAAAAATTTATGCAATTTGACAAAAATATTTTTATAATTATTATTGTTGAAGAACTATGGCGTTAGGACGACGTTATCCGACTCAATATTAATTTATTTTCACTTCTCTATTGCAAATTAAAAAATAACCACAAAATAGACTAAAATCAATTAAAATTTGTGCAAATATTTTGTTATAACGTAACCCTGTATATTTATACAACTCCCGAACGAATTTTCATTTTCATCATGTGTCATGACTTAGCAAACGTAATTAGAAGCTATTGTGCGATAAAGCACCTCTATTTTATAACGAAACCTGAGAGCGTAGACATTGATATCATATAGAAAATAATAATAATAAAAAACTGACATAATTCTTTCCAATTACTAAAAAATTCTATTTATAAATTATGTTTTGTGCAAATGTTGTTTCACCATTTTGAATCGAAATATAAGGGAATTTTATTATTTTATACAATAAAACATTTAATTATTCTATTGTATTAAAATTATAATCATTACGCGCCCAGGTAGGTGCTGAAGCATCATACATATAATATATTAAATCATATCATCCACTGGATCAATTAAATTAATTAAAACTTATTTATTCGATAACTATAATGTAAAAGTACCGATTTCAGGCTTATTATTAAATACATAGGTACTCTAAAAATTATATTGCCCGCTTAAATGCTCAAGTAACTTGAGTGAATAGATAATAATATAAAAAATACAATATTTACATTTTTCTATTTTAATGTGTATAGTTCTGAAATTGGAACTTTCACAGGGAGAAAAACGAACACATATTTACAATAATTAAATTAACTTATTCGAATTTCAAATCAGATTATTGCCAGATCAAAAAATTGAAAATTTTATTCGGGGAAAATATTTGTATACAAAACTTAATCTAGTTGGAATAGAATCATATAAATAATAATACATCTACAGTGTCATGTAAGGACTAATATCAGATACATTCAGACACCCTTGTTTTTATTTTATAACTTCGATACAAGTAACACATACTGAGACGATATCAACTGGCTTTAAACTTTACCTCAAGGAAATAAAGTTCGCAATAGAGGAAATAAGAACACTGTCACACTTAAACTATGCATGGAAATAATTGCTGTATTATTTCAAAAGGAAAACAAGGGACCCAATAACCATTATATCGTTTATAAAAGAAATTTGAACTATCACAAGTAGGTAAAAATGCTATTATCATAAATGCGTATGTTACATACTATATTTATCAATTATATATTACTAAAAATCGTTTATTGGTTCATATTCGTGTATATGTGTACATATATAAGGACACTGTTACATTTATACCTATTTTCTATGTTATAATTCGAAAAAATCGCGGTACAAAACCTGTGCGTCTAATTTCAAAGGCCATTTTTGATCTAGCGGGACTAACTGCCCATAGCTTTACGAGATTTCTCTATGGAATTCTATATTCAAAGTTGGTCCGATTCTTTTTAATTTTGTGCTTGAGATTCGTGACTCAGTTCTATTAAAAAGTATTTTATTGAGTTTCTGAATTAGCTATGGGCACATATAAAAATACTAAAAGCTAAGCTTTCGTATAGAAATTTAAAAACATCCGTGTAAATGGTATCGTAGCAAAATACTGGATATCGCTGTCGCGTGTGGAATGGAATGAATCGTAGGCGTATCAAAGTTAGTATACTCTTACATATATTGCACCCAGCTTTCAGGGTAATTATTTTAAAATGGCAACACTTAATGGTTTCAAAAATCGAATTGTCTGTAATTGGACGTTTATAACTCCGTACCTTTTAGGCCAATTTAACTACAAGCCAATAACGTTGAATATATATTTAAGACTAAGTAAATGAGTGCAATACACGCGAAATATAAAATAGGCACATCGTTCATACGACGGTTTCGTTTTGTTTATCAAACATGGCCCTCGTGTACTTCGAAATGACTTCGTAAGTAGACTTGATGAGCTCGCAGCGTTCCTCGACCTCGCAGTCTATAGGCGCGGGGGCCACGCGGTACGTGGACTTCTTCCTGGGCTCACTGTGGGGGAACTCAGTCACATTGTCCTCTATATTATAGATAGCTATAGACTGTTTTTTGTGTACCATTTCTAGGTCCTTGCGGCGTTTCTTTTTGTCTGTGTTGCACCTAGCGTTGATCGTGTTGACTGCGTTTTGTACGGGGGATTCCAGTGCGTCACTGGAGTCGAGTTCGTATCATACATCCAGTTCCTCGAGTCCCTTGGACAGTCGGTGGGAGTTGATGCGACGGCGGTGGGAGCGTCGGACGGCGTCAGCGCGGCGGTACGGCTCGCTCCTTAAGCCATGCAAGATGTCCTCCAACGCCCCGTTGTACACCTCGTCTTGGTGAAGCAGTTTCTTTTCGCCGACGGCCTGAGATTTCGTTTTTAATTCGTTGATTACAGCCTCCTGTTGACATGAAAATAAATTAATATTTTATAACTAATTGTTTAATTCGTAAAGGTAGGTTTTGTAACTGCTATAAGTACGCATGCTAAGGGCTAACTATTAAGTTGAAGTAAAAACCTTTTCTACGCATAATAGCTAAAGGAAAAAGGCGATATAACACTGGAATTAAGATTGGAATTTTAGCTACATTCAATATTAACAACATTAATTACACAATAACAAAAATGAATAAAAAATATTCAATAATAAAAATAACGCAGAATTAACCGACAAGGAGCAAATAATCATTTTAAAAATTGTTTAGCACTGAAATTATAATAATAATAATGCCGTATCTAGCTAGTATAAGAGTACAACAACAACTCTACAGAAATACAAATTAATATAAATTAGCTTAGTAAGTAAACACATTCCCTGTTAGATCCATGCAAGTTGCAAGTGCAGCGTTAAGACAAAATATATATTTACATTTCATATCATACATCTCAATTCTCATAAATAAATAAATAACTTACGTGTTTTACCACATGAATTAATAATATTTTTGACTTAACATAATGTTGCCAGACGACAGGTATTGTTTTACTCAAATATGAATAAATAGATGTGGGTAATTTAAACGTTTTTGTAAATACCTTTTGTCTGTCATTTTGGTAATATATAAACAAACAGTGTCATGATAAGTCAAAGATGGAAAACTAAAAAAAAAATAATAATATTTACGAATCAGGATCTTACTAATCTATTATTATCAATCTAAAACCGAGTAAAAGGTCCTAAAGCACTGGCTTTAAGGAGTATAACACGTGGAATAAGGAATACCGGTTTCATTCAATGGAAAGACAACCTAAAATCTAGAGTAATACGACTCTACTTCGATTATATCCATACCATGCTTCATATCAAACGCATTACCTATGGATATAGTTACAGCCAAAATTATTGAACGCTCCAAATCCTGTACAATGTTTATTCAAATGAGAATATTAAGAACAACTT